GGGTGGCGGGAGGGCCCGAGAGGTGCTCCATGCACCTCCTGGTGACCGGTCGTTTGGTCATTATGGCGTTACAGCCACTGGCCTTTTATAATATAGATTGTTAATCCTCACCCGAGGATATTTTTTACATGGATTTTTAGAGAAAGTGGAAGAGAGGGGGAGAGACACAGAAAGAGAAACCTTGATGTGACCGAGAGGCACATCAATTAGTTGCTTCCCGCCTGCTCCTGACCTAGGCCGGGGATGGAGCCCACAACTGGGTTATGTGCCCTTAACCAGAATCAAACCTGAGACCCTTCAGCCTGTGGGCTGATGCTCTAACCATTGAGCAATCGGCTAGGGCAAATTATCATTCTTTACACAAAATATTTTAAGGCACAAAAATATATACATATACAGTATATTTAACTAATTAAAGAATAACTGCTGTTTTCTACAAGTGCAAAAAATGGGGGGAGCCTCTAAAATGGTACCAGACACAAAATAGACTTCTTAAGGGACAAAATTAGGGTTTCCAGGATTCGTTGTAGCTAGAAAAAGCTGACTCCATTGATATGTGCCTTGTGCTTTGTAGGTAATTCTAATGTTCCACTAGGGCTGAGAACCATCACTACCTGTGAGCTGCCCATTAATTTTACAAACTCCCCCGATACGTGAAAGGGGAAACGAGTGATAATATTAATGGCGTCAGTGGAGTTCTGCTTTCCTGCAGCTCCAGGGGGCCTGTGCCTGGCCGGGAGCCGGCTTTGCACACACGCGCGATGGCCAGCTCTGGTGGTTGGGTTGATGCATTTTCTAGCAACAAAGGTCTCACAGAACTTTCTGAGCAGCTCAGCCTGATCGCAGAAGGTCACATTATTAAATTAGCACCAGATTCCTTTCCGAAGAACTCACTGGCCATAGAATTTAAGTTTGTCAGACATGCTTATAGGCACTGAAATAAGTGATATTAAAATTAAAAATTAAATTCCTAGTAATCTTTTAACAGGAAAATACCTTAAAATGGGAAGTTCGCCTATGCTGGTGGCTTTCAGCTTATTTAAACGAGACCCACAGGATTCCTTTAGCATTGAATGTTGTTCATGGACCCCATTGAAAAATGCAGCGTTCAAGCAAATATAACTAAAGAAGGACACTCCAATGATTTGTTTGAGAATTACTACAATACTAACACATTTACACCACCTACTCTGCAATTCTAATTTAAGAGCCAAATGTTGGGCCTGGAGATACTTCTAAAATTAAGTAATAATGGGGGCAGGGATTGGTCCTAGTTCTGAGTGATTTCCTGGTAAAGATACAGACCTAGTTTTTATTTGTTCAACAAGAAGAACACATATTTTTGAGCATCTAATTAGTGTCAGGCATTGTAGCCGACCGTTAGATTCCATGGCAGCGAGATGTACACGTGCTGTTCTCCTGGACCCCACAGCCCGGCAGTGACTGGTGTGGGTCCGAGAACACACATGGCAGCCACAGGCGTTGTCAGCGTCATCATCGAGGCACCGGCCCGGGCACTGCTCCATCCCGTCTCCCCTAATGAAAGTCTGCGCGGCAGCACCCCAGTGCTGTGCTGGTAAAGACACGTGTTCCAAAAGTAAAAATTGTAAAATACATGTTCTGACATGAAGTCAGCTTTCTCTTTGGGGCTGAAAATGCCTTTTGACTCCACCGGCAGAAGATCCCGGGGCAGGGCGGCTCTGCAGATGGCAGTGCTGTGACAGCCCTCTGGGAGCTCTAGACCTGCTCCCTCCCTAGGGCTCTGCAGCCCCAGCCTGGACCACTGGCAGGGGACATCGCTGTTGCTTGAAAAGTAAGTTGTCGGATATGCGTGATATTCTTGTGTTTTCTCCTTCTCGTCCTCTTTCAGTGTGATAATTTACTATTTCCAGGAAAACC